TGTATTACAACAACAAACTTTTTTTTTACAAAAAATGTTACTATGGCCGTATATATTAAATGATATATAACTGCTATCGGACGATCTTGTGCACGATAAAAACCTATATAGAACTTTAAGTTGGAAGTGTAGAAATCGGATGACATACATTTTTTTCCGGATTTCATCGTTCTAGGGTATGTACTACAACAACAAACTTTTTTTTTACAAAAAATGTTATTATGGAAGTATATACAAATTGATATATAACTGCTATCGGACGATCTTGTGCACGATAAAAACCTATATAGAACTTTAAGTTGGAAGTGTAGAAATCGGATGGCATACATTTTTTCCGGATTTCATCGTTCTAGGGTGTGTACTACAACAACAAACTTTTTTTTTACAAAAAATGTTATTATGGAAGTATATATAAATTGATATATAACTGCTATCGGACGATCTTGTGCACGATAAAAACCTATATAGAACTTTAAGTTGGAAGTGTAGAAATCGGATGACATACATTTTTTTCCGGATTTCATCGTTCTAGGGTGTGTATTACAACAACAAACTTTTTTTTTACAAAAAATTTTACTATGGCCGTATATATTAAATGATATATAACTGCTATCGGACGATCTTGTGCACGATAAAAACCTATATAGAACTTTAAGTTGGAAGTGTAGAAATCGGACGACATAAATTTTTTTCCGGATTTCATCGTTCTAGGGTGTGTTCTACAACAACAAACTTTTTTTTTACAAAAAATGTTATTATGGAAGTATATATAAATTGATATATAACTGCTATCGGACGATCTTGTGCACGATAAAAACCTATATAGAACTTTAAGTTGGAAGTGTAGAAATCGGATGGCATACATTTTTTTCCGGATTTCATCGTTCTAGGGTGTGTACTACAACAAACTTTTTTTTACAAAAAATTTTACTATGGCCGTATATATTAAATGATATATAACTGCTATCGGACGATCTTGTGCACGATAAAGACCTATATAGAACTTTAAGTTGGAAGTGTAGAAATCGGATGACATACATTTTTTTCCGGATTTCATCGTTCTAGGGTGTGTACTACAACAACAAACTTTTTTTTTACAAAAAATGTTATTATGGAAGTAAATATAAATTGATATAGAACTACTATCGGACGATCTTGTGCACAATAAAGGCCTATATAGAACTTTAAGTTGGAAGTGTAGAAATCGGATGGCATACATTTTTTTCCGGATTTCATCGTTCTAGGGTGTGTATTACAACAACAAACTTTTTTTTTACAAAAAATGTTACTATGGCCGTATATATTAAATGATATATAACTGCTATCGGACGATCTTGTGCACGATAAAAACCTATATAGAACTTTAAGTTGGAAGTGTAGAAATCGGATGACATACATTTTTTTCCGGATTTCATCGTTCTAGGGTATGTACTACAACAACAAACTTTTTTTTTACAAAAAATGTTATTATGGAAGTATATACAAATTGATATATAACTGCTATCGGACGATCTTGTGCACGATAAAAACCTATATAGAACTTTAAGTTGGAAGTGTAGAAATCGGATGGCATACATTTTTTCCGGATTTCATCGTTCTAGGGTGTGTACTACAACAACAAACTTTTTTTTTACAAAAAATGTTATTATGGAAGTATATATAAATTGATATATAACTGCTATCGGACGATCTTGTGCACGATAAAAACCTATATAGAACTTTAAGTTGGAAGTGTAGAAATCGGATGACATACATTTTTTTCCGGATTTCATCGTTCTAGGGTGTGTACTACAACAACAAACTTTTTTTTTTACAAAAAATGTTACTATGGCCGTATATATAAAATGATATATAACTGCTATCGGACGATCTTGTGTACGATAAAAACCTATATAGAACTTTAAGTTGGAAGTGTAGAAATCGGATGGCGTACATTTTTTTCCGGATTTCATCGTTCTAGGGTGTGTTCTACAACAACAAACTTTTTTTTACAAAAAATGTTATTATGGAAGTATATATAAAATGATATATAACTGCTATCGGACGATCTTGTGCACGATAAAAACCTATATAGAACTTTAATTTGGAGGTGTAGAAATCGGATGGCATACATTTTTTTCGGATTTCATCGTTCTAGGGTGTGTACTACAACAACAAACTTTTTTTTACATAGTTTTATTATGGAAATATATAGAAAATTATATATAACTTTAAGTTGGAAGTGTAGAAATCGGATGGCATATATTTTTTTCCTGATTTCATCGTGCTAGGGTGTGTACTACAACAACAAACTTTTTTTGACAAAAAATTTTATTATGGAAGTATATAGAAAATTATATATAACTGCTATCGGACGATCTTGTGCACGATAAAAACCTATATAGAACTTTAAGTTGGAAATATACAAATCGGATGGCATAATTTGTTTTGTGGAGTTCATCGTTCTAGGGTGTGTACTACAGCAACAAACTTTTTTTACAAAAATGTGACTATATCCGTATATAGAAAATTATACATAACTGCTATCGGAAGATCTTGTGCACGATAAAAACATATATAGAACTTTAAGTTGGAAGTGTAGAAATCGGATGGCATAATCTGTTTGAGATTTTAGGTAGGGTCAACTGTGGACCGACCCTTACAAAATTCAACAGATAAATTTTGTTTCATATAAAAGTTGTTGTCGAATTTTATAGCTATTTTTTTAAGCCAGTTATGAGTGGTAGTAATTTCCCGAGGTGGACCTTATATCGGGGATAGGTTAAATTATGGACCGATCCCCTTAAATTTGACAAAACGATGTTGACTCCTTGTTTATGTGGAATTTCTTTGCTATATTGGTATTTTTATTACAATTATTGGAGTTAATATCTTTTTCTGAAGGGGAACTTATATGGGGGTAGGGTCAATTTTGAACCAACCCAGAAAGGTTTTGGATCATATAAATCTTGTAAAATAATTTCCTGATCCTCATAAAATTTGGCAAAAAGATTTTAGTTCCTATAAAACTTGTTTTTGTCGTTCTTCTTCGCTATACTGGAATATTGAAGCTCAATAATAAACTCCATCAACTAAAAATATTTTGGCAAATATTGGCTAAGACCCTAGTCTATACTTTTATGGATTTTAGACCAATATTTCGGTGTAAAAGTTCCTTGGCTCCCTGATGAGTTTATCTTATACCGATATTGTCCATTTTCAATAACAAACTCAATCTTAGACTGTAATAAGATCCCAGCATATACTTTTATGGATATTAGACCAATATTTCAATGTGTTACAAACGGTGTAAAATGTTCCTTAATATCTTTTTCTGAAGGGGAACTTATATGGGGGTAGGGTCAATTTTGAACCAACCCAGAAAGGTTTTGGATCATATAAATCTAGTAAAATAATTTCCTGATCCTCATAAAATTTGGCAAAAAGATTTTAGTTCCTATAAAACTTGTTTTTGTCGTTCTTCTTCGCTATACTGGAATATTGAAGCTCAATAATAAACTCCGTCAACTAAAAATATTTTGGCAAATATTGGCTAAGATCCTAGTCTATACTTTTATGGATTTTAGACCAATATTTCGGTGTAAAAGTTCCTTGGCTCCCTGATGAGTTTATCGTATACCGATATTGTCCATTTTCAATAACAAACTCAATCTTAGACTGTAATTAGATCCCAGCATATACTTTTATGGATATTAGACCAATATTTCAATGTGTTACAAACGGTGTAAAATGTTCCTTGACTCCCTGATGGGTTGTGTCTTCCAAGTGGTGATTTAGCGATCTTGAAAGTGACGGAACTAATAGGGAATCACATTGTTCGCCGGTCTCTGGTAAGATTTTAGGTTGATAGTCATGCTGCACTTAAAGCATTAATATGTCATAGCTGTATTCTTGCATAGTCGTAGAATGAAGAAAAGATCTAAGTATTATTATGAGACCGTTTAAAATAAGGCTGTGTTGGGTACCAGGACCCTGCAATATACACAAATGAGGTATCTGGCGAACTGATACGATGAGGCTCGAATCTTGTCCCATATGAACGGAACAAGAAGTTAAAGCCACCCCTTTTTCATTTTTTAGGTTGATCTCCGGTGGATTCCGTGACTCTTTCAACCAGTCATGGAATATAGAATGAATTGCACATTATTTATGGCCGTTTTAAAAATACTTGATTCTAATGAAACCGGGATTATTATTGGGGTAGATGGTGTACACCAAGAACACTTGCACTGGCTACAAGACATTATTAAAATACATAAATTTTTCTTAGCACAAAATAAATATGTCTAGTAATTTGTTTTTGTTTCATTTGTTTACGTTTTTACAGAAACTCACCACACAACAATCAAAAACAGCTGTTAGGGTTTGCTGTTTTATCAAAAGGTTGTTTTATTAACGGGTATTATAGAACCCTACTACTTCCCTTTCTTCTTTACCCCCTTTGCCAACAAACTCGTGTCGCATGACTCGTGCCTAGGGTTTCCAAATTACCGACGTTTTTGATTCCCGGGAATCGGGAAAAAAATATTCACATTCCCGGGAAATCCCGATAACTTTTTGAAGGAATACCTGTCCATTTTTGTTGTATAAAATGTGTAACAATAAACATGGTTGCATTTTTACTAGTTTTTAATTCCCGGGATTCCCGACTAAAATTCCCGGGAATCGGGAAGCTAAAAATCACAACATTTCCCTTGAATTTTTTCCCGACGCTTCCCGGGAACGAAACCCTACTCGTGTCGCACGTTGGTGTTCCCTCAGCTAAAAGTGGTCTTAGATTTTGAGTAGATTTTAACGAAATCTAGTTACGAAGTAGATTTTGTTTTGTATGGTAACAATAAACATGGTTGCATTTTTACTAGTTTTTAATTCCCGGGATTCCCGACTAAAATTCCCGGGAATCGGGAAGCTAAAAATCACAACATTTCCCTTGAATTTTTTCCCGACGCTTCCCGGGAACGAAACCCTACTCGTGTCGCACGTTGGTGTTCCCTCAGCTAAAAGTGGTCTTAGATTTTGAGTAGATTTTAACGAAATCTAGTTACGAAGTAGATTTTGTTTTGTATGGGAAAAAAAACAATTTCACTCTCTTTCACTCTTCGCACAAAACGATTTCAATGATTTTTTTAGTTGTATTTTATATACCTCTTCTCACAAAACAATTTCAAAATCAAACAAAAGCTGATTTTAGACTTTTTTAAATGCCAAAAGTGACACCTCTGTATACTTTGTGCTTATGTTAAAATCAATTTTAATAAAAAAAATTAACAAACTAAATTCTATACAAATTTTACAATACAATGACTTTTGTTATCAACAAAACAATTGTCTAAAAAATTGTTTAGACAATATTGTCATCACGTTGCTATAACGCTAATAAATGTCATCTGTATCAGCTAATTTTTTTATCATGATAACAATTTGACGTTTAGCTAAATAAAAATTTATCTAATTTAGACATTACGTAAAGTTCTACATGCTGCAGTTTTTTTGAAATATAATATTTGAGGTGTTTAATTGTGTGAAATTAAATAAACTTAATTTTACTTCATTCAATATAATGAAGCGTTTGTTGACTTCTCGTTCATACTGTGTGTCAGCAGCTAAAACCGCAGAGGAAAAGCTGGATTTTAAGCAATTACGTCACATTAGCAAAGTTCCCGATCAACCGGTAAAGGAAGAGTTAAACCACTCAAACGAAAAAGTATTTGAAATAAGTAAGAAAACAGTACAGCTATTGGAGCGTCTTGCTTTGGTAAATCTAGATGGCGAAGAAGCTTTGAAAACCTTAAGAAGTAGTATACAATTTGCCAAAAGGATTGAGAATATTGATATTTCGAATAAGAAGCCTTTATACACAGTTCTAGAGAATCAGGCATTACATCTACGTTCTGATAAAATCAACGAAGGAAATTGCAGGGAAGAAATTCTTAAGAACGCTAAAATCACTGAAGAAGACTACTTTATTTCCCCGCCTGGCAATATACCTTTGCAACAGGAAGATATAATTAAGAATTAAAAACAAAAAATCTGATATGACGAATTCTCTTAAGAATATATTGAAGTTTTTAAATGATACAAATTATTTAATTGCAAAATGTGTTTTGGATAAGAATGAAAAAATGCGTTGTGAATCCTCGTTACTAAAAAATGGATTACTATTGCGAGAACAGATATGTAAACAACTGTGGAAATCTTCACCAAGTTGGGCTACACCATACGGCGGTACAAATCAAAAAGGAAAAAATCAAATGGAATTTTTCAGTCGCTTATCCTTTTTACAAAATAGTGAATTCCAAAAATCATACAAACAGATATGCAAAGATAAATTAGTTAATTCGTCAAAGTCTATTGTGTTACAGACAAGTTACAATAATATTAGTAATAGTTTTATCTCTGAGGAAGATAATTTTTACGGTTCTGAGAATAGCACTTTTTTGGTATCTGAGTACTTTGTGGCAAAAGAAACAGCTCTATCCAAATTTTATAATTTACAACGGGAGCGTAAAATATGGTGGATGCGTTTCTCTGCCAACCCAAGTCGTTATTCCGTAGTTCCGTTCGATCTTTGTACTAAGGAAAATGATGAATATAAAATTGGTAATGAAAGCAAATCAATATCAATCAAAGCAAATTTTCCATTTGGGTTAGTCGATATGGAGTCAATTACGCTAGTCCCTTTATACAACATTAATTCTTTAAATTCAAACATCGATGAGGATTCCCTTAATATTTCTTTATTGCGTTCTGTAATTAATTTGGATTTAATAACATGTGGTAAGTTAATTTATTTGTGTACAGATACATATAGTCACTCAAAACGCAAACGGTCCTATCTAGGTATAATTTTTAAAATTTTACAAGAGATGCAAAAAACTATTTAAATTGAAAAGTTTGTTTCTATCAACGCGATTTATTTGTAGTAGATAAACGAATTGTTTAATAGTGAAACCTATCATTTGTTATGATAGTTGACATTGACGTATATAAAAATGGATAAATTGGACTTTTTACCTTTAATATTTAAATGTTTTTGTAGATAGGGCCTCTTGTTGTTTTGTCAATAAAATCATTAAGGTCAGAGGAGTCCAATTTTTGGTGTAGGCATTCGTTTTGCTGCAATATATTAGAATCAACAATAAAATCAATTTTGGGTTAGTTAAGGGCTTTTGCGTCTCAGGTGACGATATGTACATATTTCCAAATAAAAATAAACATACCTACTATGACTTATGATTTTTTGAATAAGCTCTAATTTTAGACGCCTGTCATTACGGATCACGCAGCAGAATTAATGCACTGATGTTAAATCGAAAATTGGCTCCATATCAAATTCTACTTGCTAGTTTGCATCGAGGTGGTAAGTGTTTCACAAAGTTTACTATTGCTAAGGAGCACACAGTTAATTGAAAGTCTATAAACTATTTCAGACAAAGTTATTGAAGAATTGGCCTTGCATTTGGAACATGTTATAAGTAAAAGTGGTCTTCGATTATATAATAAATCTATACATACAAATACTCAATTAGAACTCCAGAAGAACTTGATATATTTTGACAACCTTGGCATACCGTATGCGTTAGTAGTTGATGACAAATCACCTAAAAATGGGCTAATCAAGCTGCGCAGTCGTGACACAACACTCTTCGAAACAATTCACATAAGCGACATACCAACATATTTATTGAACATTTTTGAAAATAAAACTTGTTTATAGAAATCGAATTATACTTTTATATCGTCAATTTATTTATCTTTAACTAGCTATACCCACCCTGCCAGTAATTTTGTAGTCGACTACGAGAAAAATTCACTTCTAGTTTACTTTTACAGACTGACTATAAGCTAACTACAATGTAATGCAGAGCTGTCCCGAAATTTTGTATTTGGCAACGTAAAGAACCGACTTTTTAATACTAACTACAAGCTAACTATAACGTAATGCAGAAGTGCCTAAAAATTATCTGGAGAGAATTTATTGTATTTCAACATGTTTTCTCTTGTTTCTCTATTATTATGATTTTATTTGTTAACTTTAGTAGACTGACTATAAACGAACAACAATGTAATGCAGAAGTGTTCCAAAATTTGGTATTTATTAACGTAAACAACCGACTTTTAAAGACTAGCTACAAGCTAACTATCATATAATGCGGGAGTACCCCAAAATTATCTGGAGAGCATTTTGTTTCGACAAGTTTTCTCATGTTTCTTTATTATTTGGAATTTTGTTTTACATTTTTGTCATTTTCTTGTATACGTTGTGAAATTAGAGTCAGTAAATTGGAAAAATTAATTATAAAAGGTTAAATATTTCAAAACTCGGTCACTAAATTCTGTTGATTAATACTGTAAAGATTATACATCAACAGTTAACATTACACATAACATTTTAAAATTTATTTTAGATTTGGATCAATGGGAATCATGGAAATAATGAACAAATCATTCATAATTTTATGGATACCGGTGTTATTATTAGTTCCCCTGCAGAAAACTGATGTCTATTAATTTTAACGAACTAATATCATAACTTGTATTAAAGCGAAATGTAATTTAGATAACTAGTAGTTAAATTTTAACTATATTAAATAAAATGTTATTAATTAATACAGTAGGGAATACAAAAGAAAACTATTACTCGACTTTTCTGAAACTAACTGTAAGTTAGTTAATAAAGAGTTACCTTTAAGCTAATTTTTTAGTAACTAACTTTAAGCTAGTTGAAAAGTCATGCAGAGTCGGACAATTGACTACTGCGTAGGACATCGCCATGTTAAAATAGTCAGTTGGCCCCATTAAGAATAATCCTAGAATCAACCATAACTAGTTGATGAAAAAGTCGGCTTTTAATGCATTTAAAGTTAGTTGAGTTGCTGGCAGGGCAGTGTGCTTCGCTACCCTCATCGTAATGGAATATAGATTTTTATACTTATTTCTAGGCTCAATATTGAAAATCTATGAAAGTCCTCTTTCAATAAGGACGCTCTAAGTTTGATTTTATGATTCAATTCTCAATCTTATAGGAAATTCAAAAAATGCAGTTAAAGAACGAAAAAGTACTAGACAGTCATTCTCACTTGTTACTTCAATAAGCAATATCTCTTGAAATTATCTCTCAACAATAACAACTTCAAAACAAATACAACAAATAACGGTATTTAAAATAAGACCAAAGAAAAATTAAAATTAAACAAATTCAATAAATAAAATAATTGCAAAATAAAATTATATAGACTTTCCAAAATAAAAATTAAAAATAAATAACAAAATATTAAAATGAATAAACCACCAGACGTCGCGAAACAAAAGCCAAATCCGACTAATTACGGTATCGATTATGATTTTTCTAAAAAAGTGACAATAAACACAAACGGTCCAATCTATCTCACAATTACACGTGTTAATGATGACAACAGTGACAAAAATTTATCTAATGTTTCCCCATTCCTAATCAAAAAAAATAATAGATGCTACTTGCAATGGAGAAGTTTCTGAATGCAAGAAACTTCGTAATGGTTCAATATTAGTTAAAACAAAAAACTTAATCCAAGCCAACAAGGTCATTAAACTAACTGCCTTCAATAACAACATAAAGATCAATATAACGGAACACAAATAATTAAATTTCTGCAAAGGTGTTATGTACTCCTCAGATTTATTTGGAATACCAGAGGACGAAATTTTAAACAACATGACTCCTCAAGAAGTGGTAGAAGTTAAAAAAATATTAAAAAAAGAAAATGATAATTTGAAAGAAACGGGGTTAATAATTTTAACCTTTTCATTAACTCAATTACCTGAACACGTGTATATGGGCTACGAAAAAATATATATTCGTCCAGAACCAGATAGCAACGAAGAATGCAGAAGTGATATCTGTTGCATTAATTGCAAGGAAAACAATATTGAAGAATATAAACACTCAGCTAAAGACAGAAAATGCCCAATATATTAAAAACAAGGAAATCCAAGCCATTAGAATACTCGAAAAAAAACATCTCAAAAATGCAGAAAAAAATATACAGCAAAAGACACCTTAATAATAACGACATAGTTGCTTCAGTCACTAAAGCTAGTAATTCCCCATCAACTTCTCAAAGAACCCAATTGATCAGTTATGATGACCCACTACTAAACAAAAACCTCAACATCAACAATCCAAACAAACAAAATGATCAACATAACAATCAGCCTAAATCTATCATAATGGACCACATTGCTCAAGCGACACCATTAAGCGAAAATCAGAATATACGATCTACCAAAATGATGGTGTTTGGGGTTTGGAGGGGTAGCGGTAATTTCGATCCAGCTTGCACTCGCCGTGATACCTTCTTCTGCGCCAGCGCTACATCTTTTTGACGGGGGTCATTCCATAAACGTTTGAGACTCCGTTTTGGATGAGGTGTGGGACAACAACACCTTCGGGGGTGATATAATACTAACCTCTATTAATTTATATTTTATTTATCACTTATTCTACTCTATCTAATAGAAAATTTTGTCTTTTACTATCTAAATTATCAATTTATTTGAAAATTACCATGAATATTAAAAAATTTCAATGGAACATTAGAGGTTATTTGAACAACTATAATGAATTACAACTATTAATAAGAAAACACCACCCAAAGATAATAGCTCTACAGGAAATACATTTTCATTCATCTTCGATTCCAATCCCAATTAACTACACAATTTTCTTTAAAAACACAGCAACCCACTCCTACGGAGGTGTTGCACTTCTACCTAATGATTTAGACGCAATTAGTGTCACTATTCAAGCTAAAGCAAAATTTACAGTAATTAACACCTATATTCCCCCATCTAAAAATTTCGACCATCATAACTTAAGGAACATGTTTGATAATTTTATTGACAACGTCCTTATAGTAGGAGACTTCAATAGTTGGAATACTATTTGGGGTTCCCCAAATGATAATCACAGAGGTATTATTTTAGGAAATTATATTATCGGTTCGAACTAGGGTAGAAGGGAGATCATACGCCATTGGGGCACATCTGCCAATAGCGAATAACTTTAAAACCGAGTAATCGATTTTATTGCATTATCGAATTTTGTTTTCGTTTATCGATTATCTATCATCCCTGAAAGTTTGAAAGATTAAATTTATATATGATGGGAGGCAGACGAGATTAATTGTTTTTCAAAGGGCTGTGAAAATATTTCACTGTGTGAATTTTTTGTGCTAACTTTTTTAGTTTTTGTGATAGAAAAAATATATTGCTCAGTGATAGAACGTCAATAATAGTGAACAATAAGACATAATAATTTTTTCGATAATATAATCTGAAGCCCGAAAAAATTGAAACTAAACCCCAGAACTGCCCGTTGGGCACATTCGCCAAATATATGTAATGCTTGTGATGTAGAACAAAATTTGGTTAAAATATAGAAAAAACCAATAATAATTTGTTTTAATTTTTTTTTTTGTTATGTGAAATAAACAATAAATATCTGGTTTATTATACTTTGTTAAATGAATTAAAATATAAAACAGCGAAATAAGTTTTTATTTTTTAAATTTTTTGGTTGATTTTACTAATAACAAATCTGCCCCATCCTCTTGGCGTATTTACTCCATGGATGG